GCTTCTGGAAGAATGGTCTAACATTCCCATAGACACATTCCTAAACCTTGTGGACAGCCTTCCCAGAGGAGTTGAAGCTGTTATAGCTGCAAAGGGTGGGCCAACTCAATATTGAATCCTACGGACAAAGACTGGGATGCCATTAAAGTTCATGTGTGTATGAAGGCAGACATCCCAATACTTTTGGCGATATAGTGTGTGTGTGTGTGTGTGTATATATATATATATATGCTGTATGTTGTGTGTGAAAAGTATGGAACCACTACATGCCACTACATGAGCCCACTCTTCACAGTGTAAGTGTCACGCATCCATGGTAACTGATCATTTATAATTAATTGTTGTAATTATTCTTTTGTAATTATAAGCATCATGTAGACCATGGGTTGCCATGCAAACAAAAAATGACTGCCTTGGGATCCTAGCTATTCCTCTGGTATACTGTGTGAACACAGTCAGTGTTTAGTCTCCTGTACTGCTGATTCTAAGTCAGTGCAGTGCAAGAACATTGGTACAGTTATCCTTTCATTTATAACCTCCCTCCCCCAATGTACTTAGTTGTCTACACTCCTGCAAGGTCCATGCTGTACAGCCCACAGGGAGCAGTGCAGCCACCATTGTAAACTCTCCTGTCCGGTCCCATACTTCTTCTATGCATGTGCTGAAAATGTCCATCCATCCCCATAGAGAGGCCGCCTATCATGCATCCCAACAATAAACAACCACTCTGTAGCAATGAATGAGGTTTTCTATGCATGAGCAGAAGGAGGATTGAACAGGACAGTTTACAGCAGAGGATGGACAGGTGACTATAGTACTTTATGGTGGTGCTGGGGGTGTAAATTAAAGGATAACTTTAGAACATTACATCATCCTTTAACTTTGACTTATTCTACTTTGAATTAGGCCAGACTATATTCTCTATAAAAGATGACAATGGGAGTAATGCAGCACTGGATGTCTCAAATGAACTGAATTAAACATTTTATCTAGAATATGCTGTACCTTTTACAAAAACAGTTTCAGAGCAGCAGATTAAAAATGCACTTTAATACATACCAAGGAATTTCTCATGTTCCAAGGTGCCATTATATTCAATGGCAAGTCTGCAGACTTACTGACTGGATGTGCTGGGCTCTGTAATTGGATGTTACTGTAAAAGAGCAGTCCAGGGCAGGCTGAGCAGCTTATCAAAGTACACGGTATGGGGTCTCATAAGTTATACTGGTGTAAAAGCCAGGTGCAAAGCATTTGTCAAACAGTTTGTTAAAGTGCATATACCCTGTGAAGGTTTAATGGTGAGTAAATCGCATTTAAAGGATCCAAACAGTGTATATCTTTAAAATAATTAGTGTTTACTTTGAATACATTTCTACACAGGGTGTAGAGGTAATAAGTGTACCCACATTGGAGGTTCTTGAAATAGAAACATTCCTATATTAAATTCACCCAAATAACTTAAAGTGACCCTGTCACCACTTATAAGCCAAATGTCTGACCTGTAGAAGAAGATGCACTATGCCGACCTTTCCAGCAGCCCATGTCTTGAAGCATCACTACTTTACTGCTCTATAGGATATATGCAGTCGTTCAATGGGGTTGATTTACTAAAACTGGAGAGTGCAAAGAGTTCTAGGTTTTTTGTCAAAATTTAATTGAACAAGCTGAAATTAGAAGCTGATTGGCTACCATGCAAAGCTGCATTAGAGTTTTCACTCTCCAGTTTTAGTAAATCAACCACAAAGGGTTGAATACCTGCTCCACCTGCTGAATTCAATGATTCTGCCTGCTGGCCTGTTCATCTTGTAAAATAACAACTGCAAGCAAGTGTGGAATATCTGTGGTAGGTAGGAAGCACTCAAGACATTGGCCACTGGGATGGCAAGTTTAGAACTTGTTCACAGGGCTGTTTTTTGGAAGTGACCCTTTCACCCCAGCCAGAAGTAGACACTTTTAAGAATCTGAACCTCCACTTTTTCGTTGTTACAATAACCTTCCTTCTCAGGGACAGGTGAGTATGATATTATTAAGTTGTATTCTCTCCCTGTCAGAGTAGAAGTGGAAGACCAGTGTCAGGCCCTATAGAGATTGATCTGTCGCCAGCCTGAGCTTAGTGCTGTTAACTGACATACTGCTGAAAGTGGTTGAAGCTGTCAATTAACAAATCCTTTGGGGGGGGTTTTCTGAGAGCACCTTTGTTATAAAACAGCTTTTCGAGCATTGAGCTCAGGTATGTCCTTACAGCCTGACATTTCTGTCCTGATTGACAGTGTCCTATTATAATGAATAAAGAACAGAGAAGAGATTCACATTATTACAAATTCACGTTGGTAAATAATTGTCTTTAAGCAATCGTTCAAGTAATTCCAGGGGTTAATGTGACTGAGAAACAATCCACATGAACACCTCCTCAGTTTCACATGAGATTCATCCAAAAGCATTTCACATTTACCCACCGGCTGGTTGAGTAATACAGCAGATGGGTAAAGGCTTTTATTTTTTCATATGCCCAAATGACTGTACATCATTTTAAAGAAATCTGTAACTCTCTGTACATAAGGCCACAAAGTAAGAGAGCATATGAAATATAAAAAAAAAAAATCTTCTTTTATACCATCTGAAATGGGAATGTGACAAAGTGCAAGATAGAGGAAATATGCTCATCATGCATCACATGGAATCTGATAGCAATATTTGTCAACTGACCGATCAAGCATGAGTTTCAGGAAGATTAATTCATCCGATTTCACATGTTTACTGTCTGTTAGTTATGTAGAGAAATGAGGTTGCGAGACGATTACTATCATATTTTGTATAGAGCAATCATGCCAACAGTCCCCACTGGAGTCATCAATTTGAACACGTCTGACCATAAAATAACAACAAAGTAAATTGAATTACATTTTGTATGTTGTGAAATTGACATTTTCCCCATGCTTTCCAGGGGATCTACTAAAAAGGACATCCTCTTTATCCAAAGGGGATCCTTAATCTATAAACTTTCTATAAACTGTACTTCATACAGTGTAAAGCAGAGGTGTCCAACATTTTGACCTTCTTGGGCCACATTGGAAAAGGAGAAATTGTCTTGGGCCACACATAAAATACACTAACAAATATAGATAGCTGATAAGCAATTCCCCCTGGGGCTCTCAGTGGGTAGGTGCGGCCCCCAGGCCCATTCACTATAATGACAGGTCGCCAGCGGCCACACTTATTTGCATCTCTGCACAACCAGCAATTACCTGCGGTGATTGCTGCTGGATGATGAAAAAGTACATCCAGCAGCTATCACCGCAGGTAATCGGATGTAGAGAGACAAAAATAGGTGTGGCTGCCGGCAAAATGTCATTGTAGTGAACAGAGCCAGCAGCCGCACCTACCCGCTGAGAGCCACAGGAGGAACTGCTACAATTCACACTGGACCTAATCGCTGGTGTAAATGTAGCCTATGTATGTGGAGGGGGGGGGGCGCAAATTATAATCTGGGGCAGACAGGCCCTGGGCTGCATGGTAAACTCTCTGGGGCTGAATGTGGCCCACAGGCCTTAAGTTGGACACCAGTGGTGTAAAGTATTATCATTGTAGCAATATATTAGAGACAACATTATTTATTTATTTATTTATTTCAGGTACTTATATAGCCCTGTCAATTTACACAGCGCTTTACATATATATATTTATATTGTACATTCACATCAGTCCCTAACCTTCAAGGAGCATACAATCTAAGGTTCCTAACTCACATGCATACATACACATACTAGGGCCAATTTAGACAGGAGCCAAATAACCTACCAGCATGTCTTTGGAGTGTGGGAGGAAACCCACACAAGCACAGGGAGAACATGCAAAAAACTCCAAGCAGGTAGTGCTGTCGTTGGGATTTGAACCAACAACCCTGGTGCTGCTAGGCAAAATTGTTACCCATTTAGCCTAATGTTAAGGTATGATTTGCAAGAGGCAAAATCCTATCAAGCTGCATTAGCAATTCATTCTGATCATATGTAATAAATAAATTATCACATGACACTACTCCCCCAGGCCTAGTATTGTTGCCAGTTTTGGGAAATAAACTAGACTAAAAAGTATAGAACTCTGAACAGTGGCGTCCCGAGACAGGTGCGGGGGGGGTGCGGCCCGCACCGGGTGACACTGGACCCGCTCCACGAAAAGATAAGTTGTAAAGCAAGCCGACGATCCCTGTAGGATGGATCGGATCTGAGGATTGGGGAGCAAATGGATTGGAGTCCGATCCATTATGCTCAATCAGCAGATCCGATACATTCTGCGGGGATCGTCGGAGGGGGTGTCACCAAGTGTTATCGCACCGGGTGACACCAACCCTAGGGATGCCCCTGACTCTGGAAGTCTTACACAAAAATGTTAGAGGGCACAGGACTAGTTTACCTGTAATGTGTGTGGTCACCTTGCAGCTGATATTTCCTCTCTTAATAACTCACATGTCTTGTACTATGTCTCTGTGTGTGGAGGTGGCCATCTTGGCAGAAGAAGGGTTTTACTTCCTTATGTCAGAGCTTCCAGCAAAGAGAATAAAAAACAGCACAGTCTTGACATCACCAAATCTCACCCCCAACTTCCAGTTCACAGGACTAGCAGTCAGAGACAGCAGTGCCTTATATCTCACCCTGCGGATACACAGTGATGAGGCTGCAGGCACACTCACATACCATGAAGTGTACGTCTGTTTTTTTAGGAGGAATATAAGACAAAACATTTAAGAGTACTGATTAGTCACAAATATTGTGTTTGCCATTCTAACCTCGTAATCGAAATGCTGGCTGCCCAGCTGTCTCTGGCTTCAGTATTTAACCACTTCCCGTCCGGCCCATGTATATAAACGGCCAGACGGGAGCAATGCAGGGGCAGGTGGCTGTTTATAAATGGCCTCCCCGCCCCCTGCTTGTGCGCACTCCCTGGGAGCGCGGAGCGCCGCGATCCGGTGCCCGCTGTGTCCTCCGGACACAGTGAAACACTGATCGTTGTATGGGACCTCTGTGTGAGGTCCCGATCATGTGATCACTGATTGGCCAATCAGTGATCACATGCAGAGTAGTAAGCAAGATGTCACCTAGTGTGAAATCTATGAATGATCACAGAGGTCACATGGTACAAGGCTATTCACAACAGCCTTGTACCATGTGACAAGCTGTGACCAATCACAGCTCACACAGTATTTCTCAATGGCTGCAAGAATGCAGCCAAAGAGAAGGAGAAATGATTGCTTTTACAGCCTTTATGGGTGTAAAAACAATCAGTGTAAAAAAAAAGAAATCGTCATAACCCCCCACAAGTAGTACAGTGTCACTATGGTAAAACTGTACTGCTAGGGTGACAGTATGTAAAAAAAAACAAACATAAATAATAATATAAAAAAACAAAGTAAAAATGTAAAAACATTTTTTGAAAAATTATAATTTTTGGTTATAAACTGTTTTTTTTTTTTTGCTAAAAAGATAACTGAATACATTTTGGCCACGATTTATGAAGAAAGATTATTTATTTGCAAAATAATTTAAGAAAAACACTTTTTTTTCAAAGTTTTTGGACATTTTCATTTATATAGCAAAAAAATTAAAAATCCCAGTGGTGAATACCACCAAAATAAAGTTTTATCTGTTAAAAAAAAAAATGCTAAAAATTTCATATGGGTACAGTGTTGCATGACCGAACAATTGTCATTCAAAGTGTGATAGCGCTGAAAGCTGAAAATTGGCCTGGACAGGAAGGGGGTAAAAGTGTCCGGACTTGAAGTGGTTAAAGAAAGTTCTGATTAAACATACAATCTAATTATCTGTCCCTAGAAATGTTGGTCAGCTCATGAAGATATCTGTAATGTATTTTACTTTGAATATTTTATCATCTGTATAGGAAAAAACCCATTGGTTAATTAAAAAAGACTACCTTGCATTATAAATTAAAATATATGTGGCATTTTTACTTTACAAACTTTCTTACTCAAGTTATTGCTGCTCAAGTGGAACTAAACCCACTGCAAATCCCCTGAGCAGTTGGCATAATGTGCAAGTATGGCAGGCTTACTTATTAGTCTGCAGTCCTTTGCTATGAGACATCTGCACTACACCTCACGGTTCTGCCATCTTCTTCTGATCTTTTTCCAGCCCAGCGTCTTCTTTCTTAGGCATTGGGCAGATAATAAATGCACATTGGAGTTATACTGTCCCTGCACCCCGCATTGATTCTCATAGTTACATAGTTATTCAGGTTAAAAAAAGACACAAGTCCATTGGTTCTCAACCTTCCTAATGCCGTGACCCTTTAATACAGTTCCTCATGTTGTGGTGACCCCCAACCATAAAATTATTTACCCAGTAATTCTAATTCATGAGTGTCGTTTTACCTCCAATACTGCTGCTTTCAACACAGTAGCTGCTTTTAACAGAGCAGCTGCTTTCAACACAGCAGCTGCTTTCTACACAGTAGCTGCTCTTTACACATCGGAAATATGTGTTTTCTGATGGTCTTAGGGGACCCCAAAGGGGTCGTGACCCACAGGTTGAGAACCACTGATCTAGTTCAACCAATAGAAAAAAATAGCCTAGACAGAAAACCTCCATATATAGTACCCACAGTTAGTCACAGTTGATCCAGAGGAAGGCAAACATTTTATATAAAACGTAAACCAATTTGCTCCAGCAGGGAAAAATAAATTAATTCCTGATCCCCCAGAAGGCAATCAGATATTCCCTGGATCAACAATCTCTAGTAAGATTTAAAAAAAATTTAGGAAAGGGAAATGATTTACTAAGGTGGTTGAGAATCTTTACACAACAAATTGTTTGAATATTACTTCAATTATCCAATTGTGTAAAACACAAATTCCTGTGTACTTATTGTATCTCCACGATTGGCTATTTAAAGTGAACAGGAATACGCTTCTCTGATGACTGGAGAAGCAAAGTAAATATTTACACAATTTATTGTGTGAAGATTCTCAACTCCTTTAGTTTATCCACCTCATTGGCTGTTCTGCCATAAAACTCTATCTGCACTTTTCTAAACATTGAACAAAACTAACATTATCTTCATCTCCAAAAACTGTAATTTTATATAAGGTGCACAGTAAAAAGAAAATTAAGCCATTTGAGGAGGAGATAAAATACTTATTAAAGCAGATGTGAACCCTGCATTGAAGAAAGGACAGTGTTGTGAAGTCATAAAACAATGCTAATGTGCAATTTATATGTAAAATAAATTTACTACTGGTAAATACCTTTTATGCAGTGTTTTATAGCAGTTACATGACCTTGTAACTGTACAGTACATCCCTACCCACTACCCCAAAAGTATACCCCGTTACGTTGGCCATACATTATACAATCTCATTGTACAATTTTCCTTTAGATTTACCAAAAACCATATAATATGAAATCAAACCTAAACAACAATTTCACTTTGTATGCAATCAGGCAGGCCCTTGCACTACATAGCTGAAGGTAAATCTAAAGGAGATTTTCCAGAAATATACAAGAAAATTGTATAATTTATGGCTAACTTTAGTTAAGTTCTTTAACCACTTGGTGACCGCGCTATAGCCAATTGATGGCTACAGCGCGGTTACCCAGTTCTGGGAGGGAGTCATATGACTCCTATGGACACTGCTGATCACGTGAGGAGGTAAAAGGCCAATCACAGTGGTCTTTTACCACATGATCAGCAGTATCCAAAGACACAGCAGATCATGGAGTAAATACAGTTGCCGGTATAAAACTGGTAGCTATCACTGAGATCGGCACTGATCATCATGGCATTGATGATTAGTGCCCTGCAGTGCCGCCCAGCAGTGCCACCCACCAGTGCCCAGCAATGCCACCCATCAGTGCCCAGCAGTGCCACCCATAAGTGCTGCCCAACAGTTGTGCCCATCATTGCCGCCAGTCAGTGCCATCAGTCAGTGCTGCCAGTCAGGGCTGTCAGTCAGTACCGTGAATCAGCGCTGCCCATCAGCGGTGCCCATCAGTGCCACCTATCAGTGACCATCATTGCTACATATCAGTGCAGCATCATCAGTGCCTCCTCATCAATGCCCACCAGTGCCACTTCATCAGTGCCACCTCATTAGTGCAGCCTATCTGTGCCACCTCATCAGTACCCATCAGTACTGTCTATCAGTGCCCATCAGTGCTGCCTATCAGTGCAGCTTCATCAACGCACATCAGTGAAGAACAGAAATTACCTGTTTGCTAAATTTTATAACAGAAACAAAGAAAACCCTTTTTTCTCAAATTTTTTGCTCTTTTTTTGATTATAGTGCACAAAATAAAACACCCAGTGGCAATTAAATACAAACAAAAGAAAGCTTTATTTGTGTGAAAAAAATGATTAAAATTTGATATGGGTACAATGTTGCATGACTGCACAATTTGTCATTCAAAGTGCGACAGCGCTGAAAGCTGAAAATTGATCTGGGCACGAAAGGGGTATAAGTGGTTAAGAGGTGCATCCACTTAGGCACCATGACACACGCTTTGTGGACTTGAGTACAAAGACTCTGGATTCCAGTGTACACTCTAATTAACTTTATACTTTCATATAACTGAGTGGGAAGCCTTGCTACACAAACCTACACAAAATACAGTATAACCAGAAACCAGCAAACTCTGATCACACGTATCTTCACGGCTACTAAGCAAATCATTGTGAGATCATGGAAAACTCTCAACTTTAACAAAGTAAGATACAGAGTTACTAGTACAATGGTCAACAAAAAATAAACTGCCATATTCAATTATAATCAAAATAAATCCCTGAAAATTCCTGGGAGACTTAATGAAGCTCACAAAGTTAAAGAATATGTAAACCCAACATTTCATATTCCTGATATGTGCCTGCTGTACCATGTACTTGTATGAAAAAGTATCATGTTCTCTTTGTATTGATTCCTTTGTGTGAAATCCCTGGCATTTCTGCCAGTCCCTCTGATCTCCTATTAAAAACCGACCATACTAGGTAAGAGAGCAGAGCATGATCATTTTTCTGGCTTTTTTGGAACTCAGCCTGCTCTCCTCTGATGATAAAACTTTGTGCTGACATACCCCCCTCCAGCCTGCAAGCCATTCACTTGGAGGATCAGTGTGTTGATGTTACTCCTCCCCCAGCTCTCTGAACTCCTTATGCAGCTGAGAACAGTGGGTATACCATCAGTTATAAAAAAAAAGAAAAAAAGTATTTATAATGTTTTTATATATGTATATACAATTGTTTTGCCTTTCATTTCAATTTTAAACTGAATAGGTTGCTTTACAAGGTGAGAGTTTACATATACTTTAAGATGTACTATTTTTGACCTCTTAATTTAACCCTTAGAGATGGTGTGCCCAAGCCCCCAGACTGCTTCCCAACCTTTTTTTATCTTTCCTTTTCTTCCTTTCTTTCTTCTCCAGTAACTCCCACCACACCCTATCCTCAACTCCCCCCACCCCTAATTATACCCTAACACTCAATACTGCCATTGCTACTTTGGAACATACTTACCATACTTGCCCCTAGGTAATGTGACTGTAAATTCTGATTCTAATGACCAAGCTGATTGTATGTGTTGTTTTATGTCATTGTCCATGAGAAATGTGTCATCATCCCAAATTACTGCTAGACCTGGATCTCCTTTTATGCATTTATGCCTTGGAGACTAATCTTTTTATTATTCCTCGGTCTCATATAGAACATGCATTATATTTAATATGAATTGGGGGTTTAAATACACTTTAATGAGAAATAGAAGCTATCAATAGATACCTATTTCACATGCAAAAATACTGATTCTACACATTTGTGTTACTGACATTCGCGAATTGAACAGTTTCATGAAAAAAGTATGCAGAGGTAAAATATTAAACACAGTTTATTAAATTAACCTTATTTTATTTGCCTTTTTTTTTAAATACAAGTTAATACAAATTCTTTCTAGAAATACAATATTATCTTTGGAGCAGGCAAAATCTGGTGCAGCTCTGCAAAGAAAGCAATCAGCCTTCAGGTTTTTTGTCAAAGCTTAATTGAACAAGCTGAATTTAGAAGCTTATTGGCTACCATGCACAGCTGCACCAGATTCTGAATGCTTCAGTTTTAGTAAATCGCCCCCCAATGTCTACAAGGTGTTCTGAATCACAAGTGATGTGATAATAACAGAGTAGACTTTGCTGTTCTTAGCTCAATCTTTCGAGGAAGTGGAAGACAGATGACAGAAACAGCTATAGAGGCAAAAAAAGAAGCAAAAAAGGGGGGTTAATTCGAAAGACGTGGACTGCTGAG